TACCAAAGCATAAGAGAATGTTGGTTTACTCATTCATCCCTTTACTGTTTGATAATTTGTCAATATAAGGAAGTGGTATCTCATTGTTCTAGTATTTATTCAGTTACTAATAAACTTAAAAAACATATATTTGCCAAGAGCTTCTTAGTAAATATCTACTGAGCCTAAGAAATGTAATAATGGAAATTTAAATATTGTTAAAATCAAGGGATAATGGAAACATTATACATATACCCAACTTCAGTCATACCTAAGCACTGGGTTATAAACAAATGTTCATACGAGGAAAAGAAAAAAATTATAAAGTATTAAACATTTGCCTCAGTTTTTTCCAATATAAGAAATTAGAAAAAGAAGAGAATAAATCTGTAGGACAAAGAAAATAATGAATGCAGGCAAAAAATTTAACGTATCAACTACCAATAGTTTTTTCTTTGAAGAAACTTACCAAAACTCTTTCAGTAAAATTGATGAGAGAGAAAAATGATAAGGATAAGTTGTACTAGGAAGAAGAGATAAGCATTCTACAGCTGAGATTTTAAGACTTAAGAAAACTGAAAAATTGTATGCATAGTAAATTTAGAAATTTAGAAGAAATGGAAAATTTTAAGAAAATGTACTTTAGCAAAACTGACTCAAGAAGAAATAGAAGGAATCAGTTGTCTTAAAACCCTTAAAGAAATTCAATTCATTTTAAAAAAATCCATCAAGCGAGCAAGATACAGATCTAAACAGTTTTCAGATAAGATCTTCTAAATTAAAAAGGAAAAAATCCACTCTGACTTTTCTGATGAGTCTGGTATAACCCTGATACTCAAACCCAGTAAGTACAACACAAGGAAGGAATATTATAGGTTGGTTCTAATTATGAATAAAGATGTATTGATCCTAAATAAAATATCTACAGACCAAATCCATCAATTTTTTAAAATTGCGATTTAATTGTGTTTGGGGATATACAGTCATGTGTCACTCAATGACAGAGATACGTTCTGAGAAATGCTTTGCTAGGCAATTTCTTTGTTGTGCAGACATCTTAGAGTATACTTACACAAACCTAGATGGTTAGAGAATTAGTATGTCATTGTGACTTTTCTTCTACTTTTTTATAGAGCCTGTATTTTGCTTAAGACAACAAATATCCATTCAGTTTACTATTAGAAAAATAAAGTTATTTCCATTTTGATATAAATAATAGTGTACTCACTACGCAAGGCCTAATGAGAAAATATGATTTTAACAGGTAGATTTTGTCCTGTTTTGCAAGTAAATGCTTAGTATGAGTTTAATTAGTCAAGTAATCATTTAGACTATATAGTAATTCCACCATAATATTATGGTAGCACTGTCATATATGTGGTATGTTATTAACTGAAATGTCACAACGTGGCTTGTAACTATAATACTTACATAATAAGTGTAACAAAAATGGATGAATATGATGAAACACCAATTGAGAGTAGATTTTCTCTGGAAGGAAGAGATAATATGCTTTGGGAGAAGGTCAGGGAGAGCTATCAATTGTGTTTTAATTTTTTTTTTTTTTTGGAAGCCAAATGGTAGAACATAGATGTTCATTGCAATGTTCTTTTTTCTTTTTTTTTTGCCTTTTTTTTTTTAATTTAAAATATTTCATGCTGGTGCTACAGTTAGCAGGTTTAACAGTTTTATGAGTTTCATTGTCACTTTCAAATACTTTATTTTTTGTGGAATTGCTTAAACACATTCCCTTTGGAGGTATACAAATGTGTGTGTGTTTTTAAATTTATGTATAAAATAGTATGAGATATGAGAATGTATATTACATACATATTTCCATGAATATTATATTAAAGGGAGGGCTTGCTGAGAAGAAAAAGAATATTAGTTCTTTTACATTCATATGAAAATAGGTGGCTTTGAGAATATAGTTTTGGCCTTGCTAACAGGTTTTTTCTGTGCCTAGAACTAAAATAAATGGTTTAGAATGCTAGGGAAATGGGAAACTTAAGATAAACAGTAGGTTGGAACCAGCAGATGGTGTAATGGTTACACTGGACTCCCATGTAGTTGACCACAGTTCAAGCTCTGGATTTGGCAGCTTGAAACACACTGGGCAAGTGTGCATTTGTGCCCAAAATTCCAAGAGGAAAATGGAGGAAAAGGGATTTCAGTGTGACCATCAACCCCTACCCCAAAACCCGGGAGGCTGGTTTCTCACTTTCTGTCTCTATCTGGTGAGCACACATACCCTATACCAAAAATCTCTCTTAAAAACAAAAAGATAAGCAGGAAGTGAAAATGTTGGATTTTATAGCATTCATTTGCCAAATAATAATTTAACATTTGCTGTGTACCAGATGTAGCGTTGAGGCTTGTGAATATATAATATCGTCTTTGATCTCAATAAACTTAGAGTTTAGTAGCAGAAATTGATGATCTTGATGTTTAACTGTGGATACCATAATAGTCATAAGCAATTTGAAGTTATTTTTTTTCCTCATGGGAATTAATTTCTATAGCTATTTTTTGTTGTTAATTTAAACAAAAATTATGTATGTATGTTTTCAGAAATAACCCAAGCCTCTTGAACTACTAATATTTATCCATAATATATATATATATATATATATTTTACTTACTGATAAATTTTTTTAAAAATGTAAATGGTTAAAACTAGAAGGGTTATGATAGGCCGTCAGATGCTTTGTAGAAATTGAAATTTGGCTGTTTCCCTGATGGCTGTTCTGTTGGGTCATTGGAAAAATAATGATGCATTTTCATAGAAAAACATAATAAAATATGTCATGACTTTTCTGATGATCCAATAGTTACTTTATCTAAAAGGGCGGTTTAATATGTTTACTTTAAGATGTGAATCTTTGTTAATATCTAGCACTATTCTCTCATTGAATTATACAGATAAACTGATTGCGTATGGGTCTTTTTTCATACTTCAAAAAATTTCAGATCTTTTATGTTTTTGTATTTGTTTTTGTTTTTGCTAGAGGGCACACCAGCGAGAGAGAAGGAAAGTGACAAAGCATCCCTCCTAGGGAGGATGGCCACATCACAATTCTTTTTCCTCCATTTTCCTGTCAGGAATTTGGGCATGTACACACACGCGCGCGCGCACAACCACAGTTCAAGCTCTGGATTTGGCAGCTTGAAACACACTGGGCAAGTGTGCATTTGTGCCCAAAATTCCAAGAGGAAAATGGAGGAAAAGGGATTTCAGTGTGACCATCAACCCCTACCCCAAAACCCGGGAGGCTGGTTTCTCACTTTCTGTCTCTATCTGGTGAGCACACATACCCTATACCAAAAATCTCTCTTAAAAACAAAAAGATAAGCAGGAAGTGAAAATGTTGGATTTTATAGCATTCATTTGCCAAATAATAATTTAACATTTGCTGTGTACCAGATGTAGCGTTGAGGCTTGTGAATATATAATATCGTCTTTGATCTCAATAAACTTAGAGTTTAGTAGCAGAAATTGATGATCTTGATGTTTAACTGTGGATACCATAATAGTCATAAGCAATTTGAAGTTATTTTTTTTCCTCATGGGAATTAATTTCTATAGCTATTTTTTGTTGTTAATTTAAACAAAAATTATGTATGTATGTTTTCAGAAATAACCCAAGCCTCTTGAACTACTAATATTTATCCAGAATATATATATATATATATATATTTTACTTACTGATAAATTTTTTTAAAAATGTAAATGGTTAAAACTAGAAGGGTTATGATAGGCCGTCAGATGCTTTGTAGAAATTGAAATTTGGCTGTTTCCCTGATGGCTGTTCTGTTGGGTCATTGGAAAAATAATGATGCATTTTCATAGAAAAACATAATAAAATATGTCATGACTTTTCTGATGATCCAATAGTTACTTTATCTAAAAGGGCGGTTTAATATGTTTACTTTAAGATGTGAATCTTTGTTAATATCTAGCACTATTCTCTCATTGAATTATACAGATAAACTGATTGCGTATGGGTCTTTTTTCATACTTCAAAAAATTTCGGATCTTTTATGTTTTTGTATTTGTTTTTGTTTTTGCTAGAGGGCACACCAGCGAGAGAGAAGGAAAGTGACAAAGCATCCCTCCTAGGGAGGATGGCCACATCACAATTCTTTTTCCTCCATTTTCCTGTCAGGAATTTGGGCATGTACACACACGCGCGCGCGCACACACACACACACACACACATACACAGACACACGTGGTGTGTTTTTCAGGCCACTAGGTCAGACTCAAATCAGATAGTCAGCCATGTCGGATCCAGCCCCTCAACCACTAGGCCATTTGCTGGCTCTAGAACGCTTTTTTTTAGGTACTGTATTTTTCATATTGTATCTTTGGGAGCTTTTTATTAAATGAATAGTGTTTTCTGAGCCTGCTTGCCAGGTTACTCATCTGAAATATGAACACTTAAGTTATGATAAACTATTCCTGTGACCTCATTTTTAGCAATTAAGTAGCTAAAATGTAGAAACAGTTGTCGATTATGAATTAATTTCAAGGCTTCTATGTTTTTCTTCTACTTTATTTTTACCTAGTGTGTTTTCCTCAAACCCTCTTTTCAAGCCATTTGGTATTAGTTTAGAACTCAAAGTAGCAAACCTGAGTCAATTTGTTTTAGCATATTTGATGTAAACCACGACTATCCTGTCCTTACCTCCCAAAACTGTCCTGAAACAGTAAATTTGATACCTTTTTTTGTATGAAATTTCTTAAGTACAGTAGTAGCTTTGTGTAACTTATCTTCAACGTATGTTTAATAATTAGGATTAGGTTTAACTGCATGTAACAAAAATTCTGCATAGGGGAATTCATACTCATCAGGTCTAGACTTAGGAAGTGCAAGGATAGTAAGAAGATTCACACATCAGGGACCCAAGCTGCTTTTACCTTATTATATCCCCCTCATCTTGCTGTCTCATGATCACAGATGGCTACTTCACATCCAAACTCCAGGCAGCAAGAATGAAGAAGGGGAAAAGGCAACTTGCTGGTTTAGCTGGGCACTCTAAGCAGACTTCCCAGAACACACATAACTATTCATTTTACATTTCCTTGACCAGAACGTGGTCCCACTTTGCTATACCTGTTTCCAGGGAGCTTGAAAACCGCAGTATTTTATTTGCATCCAGCTAGACATCTGAGTTTCGGTATTAAAAAGGAAGAGTGGAATGGATGTTGGCATAAGCGGTAAGACTCCTTACCTCACAGGTTTTTCAGTTTTTATAGGAAAATATCAATAGCTCAAAAACCTGGCAGTGTGAAAATGATTCAATAAAGCACTTAGATAAAAGTGGTGCTAAGAAATCTCTGATCTGCCTTGAACTTAATGCACTAATAATTACTGTTTATTGTGTTATTATTGATATTTCCCAGGTATATGTGTTAAGCATTTTTCACACATATAATTCTCACAGCACCCAGTGTTGGGCACTATCTAGTATATGTTACAAATGAGAACACCAGTGAGAGAGAAGGAAAGTGACAAAGCATCCCTCCTAGGGAGTATGGCCACATCACTATCCCTTTTTCAGGGATAGGGAGGCACAAATAGATTGCATAACTTGACCAAGTTCTTACAGTCAGTAAGCAGTGAGAGTCAAAGTTGAGCCCGCTGTGTAAGATCAGGGTAATAATTACCTCTGTGCCTCTGCTGATTAATTCAATTATCATCTATTAATTATCTGATGATATGATTATCATCTACCCGTAAGTCCCTGCTGCCACCCCTGCCAACCCCTTGTACACAAAAATGATTTGCAGTAACTCAAACATGAACAAGGAACAGAAAAAAAGATGCTCAAATTGAAGAGAATATGGGAACCCAAGAGTGTGAAGGTCTGATGAAGTTAGGGTGCCCTAGATACACAAAACTGATGCTACATAGTCCTGTTGAGGTGTTAATTGTCTTGGTCTGACTAACGCTCTGTTCTTTCAGAAATGAGAAGGCAGAAAAACAGCTGAATTTTCTTTAGTTATCTTTTAGCATCTTCATTGTTTAAGTCATAAAATAATTTGAATCCTTGTAAAGAATACTAGTTCTTGATATTGTGTTTTAAAAATAGACTGTATTGTTAATATGTTCTGATTGTTTGTTTTATGAATTTGATAAACCAAAGTGTCATTGTTTTATTTTTTAAGATGTGGAAGCCCAAAAGAAAGACTGTTTTTATCTGAATGTGGGCCACATACTTAAAAAAAAAAAAACTAGGGCTTGTTTATATAAATGCTCTTGTATGTAGGAGTCTTGAAATATATATTATTGGAAGGTTCTGATCTTAATAAAAATGGTATTGTACTATCTGCTAGAGCTCCCCCATAAACATGTCTGTGATCTCCTTGAAGATTAAAGACTATCTTAGTGAATACATTTTGCCTTCTAAATATGTTTCTTCCTTCACTGTCCTCAGTGTATAGAAGATATTCAGCAAGTGAATAATGAATGAATGGCTAGTAAATGAGAAAAGTTTGTTAATAAATGTTATAATTAATATTTCTACTTCTTTTGAAATTAAGACAGTTGTTCTGCCCAAAATAGAGAAAAATAGGTCACCCTTTTTATAGCCCCAGCAAGTTGTCTGAGGTTGCTTATAATGCTATTGGCTGGACATTAGTCCAGAATTGGCATAAATAGTATGCCTAAAACACAGTGGTTGAAAGCCAGGTAACAGGAGATAAGTCTCGCAAGTTCTTGGCATGTAAAAGTTCCTTACTCACTTAAGGAATGAAAGTAAGTCCATATTTTGAAGGCTATTATATGGTATGTTATTTGTTTTTTAAATGACCTTTTTAAATGGGAAGAAAAATGGGCAGTTTGGTATAGTCACATTTGAAAATGGACAATATAGATTCATTTCTCACAATTTGATTTCAAAATGATTTGTGAAAGATAAATTAATAAAACATTTAAGTGACTGACTTTATTTTGTTTTGTTTCTCAGGATGTGATCTTCGTGGTGGCAAGCTAAGTTTTAAAGCTACCCCAATGGATGCAGACAGTGATGTGGCACTGGACATTCTAATTACAAATGTAGTCTGTGTTTTTAGAACAAGATGCCATTTGAACTTAAGGAAGATTGCTTTAGAGGGAGCAAATGTAATTTATAAGCGTGATGTTGGAGTAAGTATCTGAATTTCAGTGTATGTATTATATAGCCTAATTTTATAGTGCTGTGAGTGATTCTAACACATACTCATTCTACGGGCAGTTTATGAACTTATGTTAGTTGTACTAGATACCACCGTGAGCCCTATAAAAGTCACTTAGATAAGCAGAGAACTCATTAGGTATAGAGACATTTTTTTCTTCCATTGATTTCCAGCTGAAGAAATAGACCTTTATACCTTTGTGTATATTTGTAATTCAAATAGAATTGTATTTGTATGACACCCTAATGTATATGTCATTTTTGTAGTCTGTAAATTGTTGTTTTTTTAGTTAGCCAGTAGAGAGGTTTCTTTTGTAACAAATTGCTGAAAATAATATGGTTCATATCAATTGGACATTTGAAATTTTAGTTTTTTGGGATCAGCAGTTAGCGTAATGGCTATGTCTCTGGACTCCCACGTAATCGACCGCGGTTCAAGTCCTGGACCCGGTGGCTTAAACTCATGCCGGGCACGTGTGCGTGCGTGCCCAAGATCCCAAGAGGAAAATGGAGAAGGGATTGCGGCGTGGCCATCCCCCCTGGGGGGGTGATTTCTCTCTTTCTATCTTTCTGTCTCTCTCTGTCTGGCGAGCGCACGTGCCCTATAGCAAAAACCTCTCAAAAAAAAAAAAAAAGAAAGAAAAGAAATTTTAGTTTTTGTTAAGCCTGTAATATTTAAATTAAAAACCTTAATAAATAATAATAAAACCTTAGTGTTTCGAAATTGCCATTATAAATGACAGTGGAATTTTAATTGACTTTTATAAATCAAAGATTGATGAAATAGAAATGTACTTTATACATTATGAAAATTAAGAATATAGCTGAAGATTCTATTTAGCTTGAAAAGTCAGATGCCAGGATATCTAGGTAAATTATCATGAGTTCTTAGTGTCAGACACTAAGTAAGAATGAATTAAATTAAAATTTCAGTTACCAACAAGTAAAGATAATTTTAAGTTTGTCAGTAATACCATCTTCTTTTAAAGAAGGAATAAATATATGTCTGCTAAAAAAAATTTAGGGAGGAAAATGCTTGACACTGCTTTGATACTTTCACATGACATATGGTAAGGAAGTAGGTTTTTCTAAGAAAGTTGACTGAAAAATCTGAGTTGATAGGCAGATTGATGGTGAGAGACAAATATAGAGTAAACTTAATTCAGTGTTTCTTAGTCACTTATGTGTGAAATGTTATGATATATTTTAATTCAAACTTCATCTTAATCTTTGGTAAATCTTGAGTCTCCTCAGGTTTAATAGCTTTCCAGTTTGGTAATATGGCATATGACAGAAGAAGGAACTCAAAATATAGCACAAGCTTTAAGGAGAAATTTCCAATTCATTTGCATGCTATTTTATCCCATAAATATTTATTTCTTACTACACATAAATATTTTCATGAAAGAGAAGTTACAATGAAAACTTTAATTCACCTACTATCCTGGAGTTTAGCCCTTGATCTATTTGTGCTCACTTTGTACATAATTTCTTTCCAATCCATGGCTTTTAAATGTCCGTGATATCTGAGGAATCTCAAATTATATCTCTGGTTCCAATATTTCTACTACACCTGAGGTTTCCATGTGTAGCTTGAGTATGTAATATGCATATCAACTGCAAGATAAGATATAAAGTGGTGATGGGTATTATGAAGCAGAATAAAACAGAGTTAGGAATTAGAGAGCCATGAGATGGTAGGCATTTGGTTGAATGGTCAGGGGCATCTCTCTATGGAGGTGACGTCTGGCAAGAGACCTTAACCAAGTGACAACATTGGGGGACGAATATTCCAGATGAAAGTAATAGCTAACACAGAGCTCTTGTGATGTGAACAAGTTGGGCGTGTATGAAGTCCATGCAGATTTCCATCATATGAATAAAGTAAAATTAGTTTTGAAATGTTTATGTACTTATAATACATGTCAAGTGTGTAGTGAGAAATTTATTTAGATCTTGTATTTTTAATTAATTAAATGTGCTTTTAGGAGGTCAGCAGATCCTGCGATGGTTAAGGCTCTGGACTCTCACATGGCTGACCATTGGTTAAGTCTTGGATCTGGCAGCTTTCTTTCTCAGTTCCCCCCTCTCTCTCTATTAAGTAATAGTAAAAATAATGATGATAATAAATATTTTTAAAATTTTTAAGAAATTTGCTTTTAGATGGTTATGGTCCTTGTGTTCGGTACTGTTCTTGATTCAGAATGAGTGATTTGGAGAGCAGTTATTTTGGTCTTAGTTAAACTTGTGAGTAGTATTTGGATATTACCATAACCACATAAAACAGAAAATTAATGCTTATGAAGTAATTAGGTTTTTTTTTCTTTTTCAGAAAGTATTAATGAAGCTTAGAAAACCTAGAATTACAGCTACAATTTGGTCCTCAGGAAAAATTATTTGCACTGGAGCAACAAGGTAAATGTTTTATGAGTTTATGATTTTTACTTTTTATTTTTCCCTTCATGGGAAGGACATTTTCTTAGACTTAAAAACAAAATCACATATAAATTTTGTTAAGTTCCTCAGCATAAAATTTATTTCCAGTGTAACTGATAATCTTTTTCTTTTCCCTTAAAACTACAGTGAAGAAGAAGCTAAATTTGGTGCCAGACGTTTAGCCCGCAGCTTACAGAAACTAGGTTTTCAGGTAACATTTTCAAAAAGTATATGAACTGTAAATATTCAAGAATTTTTTTTTTTTTTAAATTAAAACTTTTAACTTAATACACTAAAAGACTCACCACATAAACTCTTAAGACTATACATTTTCTAGGTTTGTTTGTTTTTTTTTTCTTTTTTCCTTTAGGTTTTTTGCCATAGGGCATGTGTGTTCCCCAGAGTGCATGGGAGAGAATAAGACAGTGAAAGGGAAAGTGAGAAGTTACCTGCCAGGGGTGATGGCCATGCCGCAGCCCCTTCTCCATTCTCCTGGGATTTGGGACATGCACACACATGCTCCTGGACCTAGGACCTTCCCATGTGGGTCCAGATGTTTTATCTTTGCACCACCTTCTAGCCCCCTTAAGGGTTTTTTATAATGTCCTTCAGTGTGAAAATTTAATAAGAGAATGTGGCCATATATATTTGTAAAGCATCCTGGCTTTTTTTGAAATTCCTTTTCCATAGAGAGACTTGTTTCCTTACAAGTTAATGTCCTTTTGAACTCTTTAGTTTTTTTTCACTTCTCTCACAAAAAAAAATCAGTTTTGATCATCTCAAGTATGCATGCCAGGTAAGGATGATGAATAGAGAATGAGACCCTGGTGACATGGACATGCTTGTTGGTAGGCTCTCACAGCCATTAAGTGGTATGTCACCATTATCAGACAGAATTTTGTGGAGACATTTTTGAATAAAATTAGTATATCTCATGGACTTGCTAGATCACATGCAAACAAGGAGTAAATGAAAGATAAAGACAAGATACAGTCCCTGAAGAGAAGTAGGTTCCTCTTGGATAAGCTGATACAAATAGTGATGGGAAGTTCCATTTCTCTCTGAAATAGAAGGTGATAGGAAGGAGCTGAATGGCTGGTGGAGAGTCGGGGGTGTGGGTGCCTGAGCTGAGTGACTATGGAGAGCCTTGAGGTCTGGCCATGATGTGATGTTGGGGCCACTTTTGCACAGTTGTCTGGATTCCTATAGCAGCTTTGTGCAAGAAGTGAGTTAAAGGATAGTTTGTTCACCTAGAATTATGGTGTTAGAAAAGGTAAGAAGCAGCTAAAGTTAATAGAGTGAAGAGAGCATTGTTTTCTGCCTTGGGACTTCTTTTTTTAGGATAACATAGTAGAAGTGTTCATCAGTCTGTACCTAACAAGAAAAAAAGCATCTAGCTAAATTAACACAAATGTTATATTTTGTGTGTGGGTGTGGGTGGGAGCTTATTTCTTTTTTTATTTTAAGGAATGTCATTTTTATCTTATATACATAAGAGAAACATCTGACCTTTGGAGCCCAATATATGCTCTATTGCCTATTTAAAGTGACAGCTTATCCACTTTTACTCTTCAGTAGAAGTACACCACTTTAATATCTGACTCACCCCTGCTTCTGTTCTCTTTTCTTTCCCAGTAGTTTTAAAATGCCGTGTAGAGTATTAGAAAGTTAAACCAGGCCAACTGTGGTGACACAGTGGTGATGCTGAGGCCATGGAGGAAGGTTTCAGTTTGCACCCAGGTCTCTCTGTGATGCACTACACATGCATGCCCCATGTGTGCCCCAAAATCTGGGCAGTGGGTAGGATCTGTAAGATCATGGCCCAAGAACGCTGTTGGGGATCCCTCTCACTTTTCGTTTCCTCTTTCTTGGAAGAAATAGATGATTAGACTTTGAAAATAAAATTAACAGAAGATTCCAAGGACCCCATATGTACTATTTTGATCATGTAGATTTCTCAAGGTATTTTTTTTTATGAAGATTTTTTTTTCTTTTTTTCTTTTTTGGAGAGGTTTTTGCTATAGGGCGTGTGTGCTCGCCAGACAGACAGACAGACAGAGAGACAGAAAGCAAGAAATCACCCCCCAGGGGAGATGGCCACACCGCAATCCCTTCTCCTCCATCCTCCTCTCGGGATCTTGGGCACGCACGCCCATGCGCCTGGCGTGAGTTTTAAGCTACCAGGTCTGGGACTTGAACCATGGTCGACTACGTGGGAATCCAGCGACATAGCCATTATGCTAACTGCTGGTTCCCTTTTATGAGGTTTTTAATAAAGTTTTTTTCTTTAATTCAATTGCATCTTTTAATACTAAACAACTTATACTATTACATCCATGCACACGATGTTTCTATTTTATCTTGTTCTTACTTTTAAGGATTAAAACTTAATTATTAAGGATTGATATAATGGGTAGATCTTTTTTGTGTGTGTTTCAAAATAATTCATTTAGTTTTATTTCTCTCCTAAAGGTAATATTTACAGATTTTAAGGTTGTTAATGTTTTGGCAGTGTGTAATATGCCATTTGAAATCCGTTTGCCAGAATTCACAAAGAACAATAGACCTCATGCCAGGTAGGTCTTTTAAGATGCAATGTAATTTACCAAATTTGAAATGACTAATCTGGCTATAAATATTGATACTAATTGTGGCTTTTCTTATGTAGTTATGAACCTGAACTCCATCCTGCCGTGTGCTACCGGATAAAGTCTCTAAGAGCTACATTACAGATTTTTTCAACAGGAAGTATCACAGTAACAGGTATTCTATGATAGTAACATCAGACTTGTCAATGAAGATTGATTGATATAAGAGATGTCCATACCAAAATAGAAATAAAATCTAATTTGTCCTCTTTTGTCATTTCTGCACTTCAGTTGAGAGAAACAGTCCCTTTTTTTTTTTTTTTTTGAGAGGTTTTCGCTATAGGGCGCGTGCGCTCGCCAGACAGACAGAGAGAAACATAGAGACAGAAAGCGAGAAATCACTCCCCAGGGGGAATGGTCACACCACAATCCCTTCTCCTCCGTTCTCCTCTTGGGATCTTGGGCATTCACGCACACGCACCTGGCGTGAGTTCTAAGCCACCGGGTCCGGGACGCGAACCACGGTCGACTACGTGGGAATCCAGCGACATAGCCATTACGCTAACTGCTGGTTCCCGAAACAGTCCCTTTAGTGTAGATTAATTTTACCTGCTTGTGTACTATTTATAAATCTTGCATACACTATATTGTATCTGTCTTTCACTCATCATTGTTTTAGTGAAATTCATCTGTATTGTTTCAAGTGGTTGTATGAAATCATTTATTCTCATTGCTCTATCTCTGTGAACATACTATCCATAAGCATTTGAGTAATTTCATTTTGAATGACAATATTCTAGTATGTATCTCCATCATATGATTTTTAAAATTTATGATATCTTAAATTTAAAATACTCAAAGAGAAACCCATTTGATAAACTTCACAGGTATTAAATTATCAAAATATTCAGATAGAATTGGTACCTATTTAGTACATGTATATTTCATTGTATCTTTGGAATCTTTGATATTTGGAAGGGATGGCTTCAGAATGGGAATACATGTCAAAGGATGCATTCATTCACAGGATGATTTTCAAAGTACTTTGATGATAAACTGTACAGAGCCATTGCTTGAAAATCAGGCCTAACCTTAGGTAGAATTGTGGTGAGGGATATTTTTCTATAGTGTCCTTGAATTTTGTTTTTTCTTTGTTCTTTTTTTCTTAGAGATTTTTGCAATAGGGTGTATGCTCTCACTGAAGAGACAGAGATGGAGAGATAGAAAGTGAGAAATCACCCCCTAGGACAGGTGGCCATGCTGCAATCCTTTCTCCTCCATTCTCCTCTTGAGATTTTGGGCATGCATGCACATGTACCCAACATGAGTTTTAAGCCACAGGGTCCAGGACTTGAACCACAGTTGACTATGTGGGAGTCCAGCCACATAACCATTATGCCAACTGCTGATCCCAGTTTTTTCTTTCTTTAATCGTTAGGAAAGGATAAGTGTTCCTGACACCTTTAGACTCTCAACAAACAAGCTTTCATTTGGACTTACCTAGTGGGTTTTCCCATCTTCCATGAGGAAAAGCCCGTTGCCAGGATCCCGCCTAAATCTTAAAGATGGGATGCTGGGGACTGAGACCATTGGTTTCCTTCTTTCAGTAATCTGTTTTTACACCTAAGAGGCTCTAATAGGGCCTTGCATATTTTAAGTATAGACTACAAGTTTTATTTTTGTATTGTAAAGACTTGTATTTGTTGAGTAAACAGGCAATTAAGCAATACAATAACAAACTGAAGACAGTTGACCTAGGTAATTAGTATGCATTGTATGCTTATTAAATCTGGAATATCCTGTGAAGTATTAGTTCACTGAACGCATGTTGAGTGGTTCCATGAGCAAAGCACTACACATGGAGCAGTATAGAAGGGAGCAGGGTGAGTCACAAAAGAGCCGGCCAGCACAGGACGTGGTCAGAACCTGTAAATTGCTCACAGTGGCTGGATTAGTCAATTTTCTGGGTCTTTGCAAAGAGGTGAGTGTGTACTACTGAAACTGTCTTTATTCAAACTCTGAAAATATTTTCATTGTCCTTTTTTCTGTGTTTCTTATTAGCCATTTAAGTGAAAGATTGCACTTTTAAAAAGTTGTTCTGGTGTTATATGGATTAACTTATATGTAGTGTCACCTCACTGTGCTTTCCTATTTTTAAATTTTTCCCCTTGGGTAAACTCTGAGGGTAAAATGACCAGTTGGCAACAAACATGTGGATACCAAGTAGTAGTAAGTCTGTGGGGATTTTCAGACCATATTGTTTAAAACAGCCCTCTGTTCCACCAACCCTCTGGCAGCTGCGTCTCACTCTCTGCTGTGCTCCTCCATACTCCTATGGGCTTCCAGTGTAGCCCAACCAAAAGCCAGATGGCAGTGACCAAAATGACAGGACGGTGTGGCCTAGTGCCATTTGTTATTCCTGCCTTTCTTATGCATATTATGGTGCTTTTTATTCCCCATGGTGCAGTTTTTTATTTACTCTCTTTTCAGATGGTAGCTAAAACAGAATGAATAGCATTGTTTTGTACTATCGTGTGTTTCAGAGTTTCTCTAATTGTCCAGAAGAAATGTGTATTGCCCTGTTTCTTATTATGACCATGTGTAACATTTATGTAAATGTAGTTTTTTTCTCTTTTTTTAACAATTACCTTGATATCCTAAACTACTTGGTTATTTTTGATTAAGGGAAATCGTTTTTTTCTCAACTCTTCTTACCCCTTCCGCCGTGGTTTATTGCAGGACCCAACGTAAAGGCCGTCGCTGCTGCTGTGGAACAGATTTACCCATTTGTGTTTGAAAGCAGGAAAGAAATTTTATAATTCTTCATCAAATTGGTTAGAATCTCTAACTAAGCACCTTTTAAAACCTGCTGCACATTGGACTCAAAAGGAAAACTGGACCAACCGTAATTGAGGAAATAGACTCTTTTATTCGTCCATGGCTACAGTGTAAGATCCAGCCCCTTCGGATTTTATTTCAAACCTTGCTGTAATATAAAAAGGAAGTTTACAAGACATGACATTGCTGCTTTTACGAAAAGGACATTCTATTTATTTTCGCAGTAATTCTCATGTCCCCAGAAGCAGAGCTGTCACAGTGTGCACTACCTTAAATTGTTTTATTGTCGTCATTGTTATTTTTTTCCAATTTGAGCTAATGTGTTTTATTTGTGAATAGTCTTTTACATTTTTGTATGCTGAATATGGGCACCAAAGAACCTGTAAAAGTTATCTTTTTCAATTGAATGTCCAAATAAAGTTTGGAAAAGATCTCTCTTCCATTCTATAACATTTATTCCCCATTTTCTATTTTAACAAAATATTGTATTTCTTTTCTTTTTTTAATCTATGCAAGCTGAGACTTTGTCTAAATGCTTTGGCATCTTTTTGAAGTATATTAGTATATATTGTGTGTGTGAGAATATATATGTATATATACATACATATATACATATATATACACATATATATATCACATGTGTACAGTATCTTTTAATGTTCAGTTACCAAATTTAAAATAGATTTTTTTCCTTGCAGATTAGAAATAAAAACATGTATATAAACTCATGGGAACCAGAGTAGAAATTTATAGATAGAGGATAATGTTTTACATTGCTAACTTAATATGATAGAAAATATTAAATGAAACTTTGGAAAGTTAAGAAATTGTAGTTTTAAGAAGAGAAACCTTTTACCCACTAGATGTTTATGAGAAAGAAACTGTGATGAATTGTACCTCATATGTACCTTTGTTATTCTGGAAAGACTCAGCCGTAGTGGCAGGAAGATGACTGAAGTTCTTGACTCATTAATCTTAGGTGCCCAGGGCTACACTGAAGAGTCTTGTCAGAAACTCATAATTTGCTGTTTAACAAGAAGTGCCCACAAGGTGCCTCTGCGCCACAGTATAATTATAGTACAGTTCAACTTGAAAGCCATTTGTCACACACGTCTTTCCCCTTGCTGTGTCTTATTAAATGGCGCTGCAGTGACTATTCAGTATGTGGAACTGCTATACTTTTCTGAAACGGTGTTTCCCCAGCTCACTCTTGAGTCCTGGGATGGTAATACAGGATCAAGCTGCAGTTGTGCTCTGCCACTTACATTTAGGAGTTTTAAAGGCAGCTGTGATTTTACCTAGAAATAAAGCTGAGTGGAGAGTCACATTAGCCTTTCAGTAGAAATGTAATAGAAACAGTATTCTAACACAGTCTTCCATGGTAATCTGAATTACCACAATGTTTCGAAACCTTTGTGAAAAATTGCAACACCTAAACCTCCACGTTTCAAACATTTTTCCTTACCATATTACAAAATCTTGAAGACCTCCTGTAAGCACTGCACTGAACAGTACATAAGTATTTTATTTTTATCTTCTTCTGAATGCCTTCTCCAACCCCACCTCATACTATAAAAGTGGGGAGTTGGAGGGGCAAAGGTTAAACTTTTCTTTGTGATGACAGGTAAAATTAAAATTTTAAAACTTTTGTTCTCTTTTTAACATTTCTGTTTATTTGCTTTATTGTAATACAGTAGACTGGCTAAACTCATACATACAGAGAATAAAGCTCGATGAAAGAATTATAGGCATACTGTTTTAAAACTTTGAGATTTTTCACTTAGTTTTAATTAACAGTGATTTCTTATTTTGTAGTGTTCTTATAAAAACAGAAATACAGACTTCAGGGGGTGGGAGGACATGATTATAGAGCCAAGATGCAGATCCAGGTAATACAACATTTTCAGTATTCAGATGATTGAAAATGGGATCGATGAGCAACTCGTCTAAATACCTTATCTGAAAAGGGCAGGAAAGACAGTTTGATTGGGTCTGGCTTCAGGGTTGCTGGGCGAGCATCACCTGGCAAAGTATCCATGGATGATCCACTAAATTTAACAAAGCTAGGAAGAAATGAGTGTATCTGATGTCTTCTGCTGGCTTTCCACAAGTACTGTAAATTTTTTATATAAATAAAGAGTGAATATATAAATACAAATTATAAGTATTTCCCCTTTTTTATTTTCAAAACCAAAAAACTTTATTGATATAGATGAGAATGGGTATTTGGTAAAAATTGGTTGAAGACAAAACGATTTAGCTACAGACCCAGGATTAAAAAAAAAAAAGAAGAATTAGAAGATTTAAGATACTGAAGTTGAAGTCACTAGTAATAAACCAGCTAGAGTTAGAAATAATTTTGGCCCATTTACGATGAATGGCAAAACCAAGAAACAACTAAAGTATATGTAGTGTTTGAATGTCAGTGGAAACGTAAAACAATTTTATTAAATATTATCTTACAATCGGTGTTGCTTGGCAAAGAAAAAGAGTTCTTATTGAAAAACCTGTCTTGATTTAAAAAAAAACAATCTCTGCGTATAATTCCACTGAATATTCATGACAGATTTTTTAATTGATGCTCTACAGAATACACATTCTTTTCTTTTTCCACACCAAACAAAAAAGTGCTCTAACTTGCATATATAATGTACCATGACAGAATTAAGACCTCAAATCTCCTTTTCTTTTAACTTCCCCATGCCGAATTAAGTTAGGTATATACTTTAGAACTAGGAATCAATCATTCTCCTGAGTCTCTGATATTACAATTTTACTATTGTTTACATAGGTTTATAGTCTTTACATTTTGTTATAAAGGAATGTAGTGGGTCGTGTACCCTGTTTCAAGCTGGGACATTTCCTTAGAGGCCAGTAGGGAAATTTCAAGCTAAATAAAAAGGGTTTGGGTGTTTGGATTTCCTTTTCTTTAGATTAATCATAGTTTTTAATTTCTTTCAAGTTAGGTTGTTTATGCTTTAAGTTTTTTGTGTGCCTTCTGTAGCTTATAATACTGGAAATTTAGTGGGTTACTGCTTAAGTGGTTCAAGATCCTTTATTGTAGATTTTCTAACATCACATCAAAATTCTATTGGTAAAATGCCTTATCAAGTCTTAACATTCAACTGGGGAAATATAGAAGAGAACAATCCAGAGAGAACAGTGAAGGAATTGTCTTGATATCTCAATGTCACATATGGTGTCTGCAGGCATTTGAAAGTCAGCATCAATTATAGCCTGTGTGCCATAGCCCGAGGTAGTGCTATTCCTGAGGAGTGCGAAGGATTGTGGGAGACTATGGATTGCTATAAGTTACTGTGAAAGCCTTACAAGGAGAGAATATTCATAGGCTTGACTTAATACCATAAACGTAATTGCTGAGAGATTTGGATAAATAACCTAATGTCCTGATTCCTTTTCTGATGTTTTAATAACAGCTACTTCTAAATAAATGTGGTCCCAGAATTTTTTTAATTGTCCTTTCTATTCATTAAGCAAACTAAAAAAAATAGAAAACTGCTTACATTTCTCAACTAGTACAGAATTTTCTTAAAATACTCTACAATACTAATATAAACTTCAGAAAAGTAGTCTATGTTGCATTAAATTGTAGTTCATAATTTGTAAAAGAAGCTGTGTAATCTTTAAACTTGTACTGTCGCTAGGAATTACCACTACAATCCTAGCCAGGACCCTATCCTAATCCAGAACGTTTGTGCAGTTGTTCACATAGTGTGTCTGGTTCTATTGTACACAAGACCCAGTGCAAATGGTATCTTAGAAGGCAAAAACTGTGAGCTTGTGTCCAGGCCACTTGTGAGACTGAATTGTAAAGCTGCTACTGGTCTTGTATACATATAGCTTAAGGCAAAGGTTGGTCTTATCGCTAAGACTCAGTTTTATGGTGGCTATTTTGTAAAAAGGTGTGCAAAGTGTTGAACAAACCATATCTTATGGTTTTTTTCTTTTTAATCTGATAATCTGCTCAGAATAAAAAAATAGATTGCTCAGGACCTTGTACCTTATCTACTTTTTGAGGTTCTTTTGGGAGAAGAAGGGACTGACTTTACAGTTTCAAGATACCCATTTAAAACCAGCTCCACGACACTGAAGGTACAACATGCCAGTGGCAAGTAGCCGTGGGTACAAAGACACCCTACTAATGTTCTTATGCCATATCAGAGTTTGAGGCCACTAGGTCTCTGGAGTAAGCTGCCGTAGTTGTCCCCTACCACACAACTTTTTACACTCCAAAAGTTGCTCTTGGGGTTTTCTTTTTTGAAGCTGTGTTGGCACTAATTCTTCTTTGTGATGACTCATAAAGCAAATGTTGTTTTTCACATAGTTCCTGAAAGAGAAAAGAAGCACTAATGAAAATGTCATTCTTCATTTACGGTAACAGAGAAAATATCAATATGCTAGTTATTATTTTTAAATCACTCAGGGGTTTTAATGTTTTAGCTATGCAAAGAAGACATGTTTGTCACGAAGCCCTGATGTATCATGAAATTCAGTGCAGAATTCTGGCAGTCTCTGGCAAAGGCTAAGATGGGTGTCTTCTCTGAACACAGTCAAAGCAGCTGTCTGTGCAGGGCATTCCAGGCAAGGGTGGTATTAGATACACAGAACAAGCAGAGATTTCATCCCAGATCCTAATCCATTTTATTCCTGTGTCTCAAACACCACCAGTGTGCCTATATTTACATCTACATATTCTGCTTTCTGCATTATCCCCTCACTCCTGTGTTAATAACTTTTCTGCAAGATTATTTCCATCAGCACAAAAATATGAATGATATTTAACCATTTAGGAAAAAAAAAAAGAATTGAGGGCCACCTTTGAACCTCTTTCCTTTTTTATATACCATTTCCTGTAATTACCCAGTAGTTAAGTGGCAGCAGTGTGCTGTCCTATGGTAGATGACCTGGATAGAGCAGAAGAAGACTTGCTGTCAAGGTGCTTTTACACACACACACACACACACACACACACACACTTTTTAGGTTTTTGACATAGGGAGTGTGTGCTCACTGGACAGACAGACTGAGGCAAAGTGAGAAATCACCCACTGCTGGGGGAATGGCCATGCTGCAATCCCTTCTCCTCCGTTCTCTTGGGATTTGGGGCATGCACACACACCCAGCATGATTTTCAAGCCACCAGATCTAGGTCTCGAGACGTGGTTGGCCACGCCTTAACCATGACCCCACCTGCTGGTCCCTCAAGGTGTTTATATTAATAGCAGAGACAAGCATATCTGCATATGATTTGAAGTAGTAAATGTGCTAATGAGGACAGTAGACAGGGCAAGGGAAAAGGAAGAAGTTGAGTGGGTAAAGGGGGACTATATTTATAGGTGACATCTTTCCAAAGTGTTTAGTCATGAAGTAGAATGAAATTGGAGAGGGAACCATGTGAAGAATTCCAGAAACAAAAGTAGAGACAGGAACATGGGGGTCTAGGGAATTTTTGTTTTTAAGGATCGGCAATATTGGAGTTTAGTGGGTGCGTGTGTGTGTGTGTGTTATGATAATCCCATAGACTGGGGAAGTTGATCAGTGCACACACAAGGGCATCTGCAACAATGCAGGTAATGAGGGCGTAGATATAGGTGAGTGGTAGGAAGATGAAGTGTTCACTGTTTTCTCAGTGAACTCAAAAGCAAAATCATTGGCAGACACTAAGGAAGTGAGAGAGAGCACTGAAGCTGGAGAAAGTATTAGTGTGACGTAATCATCTTGGAAAGTGGAAAGTTAACTCACCAGGGAGAGTTGACTGATTGCAGGGCATGCCTCAAGACCTAGTTGAGCTTTATGTTCATAAATTTAAAACATGACTGGTCAGCACAGTTGTGTGTTTTCCTTAGCCATGTTTAGCTCCTCAATGCAGGGCTAAAATAAGCTAAGTTGGTTTAATAGAGTTGCGGTTTCCTGAATGAAATGGAGAAGGGTAAAGGGAAAGGAGATAAGCACAAGGGTAAACTTGGGAGTGATTCAAGGAACCTAAGCAGTGTAAGGAAGTGGGAACATGGGTGATTGAGAAGCATTAGCTTCCAGGTCCTGGTGGGACTGAAAATGTGTTAAAATGCAGGTAGTCAGGAAAGTGAGCTGGACGGAGAGCAATCAGGGTGAGTGGGAGCGTTGCAAATGGAGCAGTGATTGCTAGTGACTGTCTAGGCTGTGGCCACCTGTTTGCTCCCCCTCACAGCAAGACTTAAGAAGTAGACTATAGGGCTGACCATGTAGCATAGCAGTTAAGCAGATTAAGAACTGCAAAGGAAGCCAGATCCCACGTGGCTGACCAGGGTTTGAGTCCCAGCCTTGAAAAACACATGCAGGGCATATGTGCATTCCCAGGATTCTGAGGGGATGGAGAATTGGCGAATAAAAAGGATTGTGGCATGACTAGACTCCATCGAAGACTATCTTCTGTCTGCTTCTCTCCACCTCTTTTCCTTCCATTTTCTCTCTCTCCCTTCTCTCTTTCTCCCTCTCTTTCTCTCTCTCTCCCCCTCTCTCTTGGGCACAAGCCCTCTGGAACACACACATACACACACACTCAGATCTACAGCTGATTCTTCATGTCCATTCTCTCAAACCTCTACAGCCAGCTCCTGTCCTCTTACTCCAGTGAGATGTGCCTGGCCAGCCTGTGGACGACTCTCTCCGTACGTGGCCTCTTCAGTCTTACTTTCCTGTAACACCTGTTTTGGCTTCACTGATGCTGTACTCTTCTGGCTTTCATCACTGTTGGCTCCCTTCCAGTCCTTTCTGATACTCCCTCTCCTTTGCTTGATCTCTAAATGTTGGCATGACCTAGGGTTGGTCTTGGACCTCATTCCCTTCTGTCAGCTGTCTGGCTAGATGCTCTCATCTGGTCCCATGGCTTCATCACTTTTGAGTGATGACCTCTCACCTTTGACTGTAACCCCAAGTGTCTCAAAATTACAGACTTAACAGATCCAGCTGTCTACTAATGATGTATCTATTTGATGTATAATGGACATCTCAAAATTAATACAGCCAAAATAGCTGTTACTACCAGAACCCAAAAATGCGGTCCTATTTCAGGCTTCTCTCTCACCATCTATCCAGTTGCTCCAACTAAAGCTTTAGGTGTCATCCTCACTATTTCATTGCCTTACTCCTATATCCAGTTCACATTCATATATTCATTCAACAGTTAGCTTCAGTTACGTGCCAAAGAATCATTCCAGTGGTTGGGAAACAACAGTTAATTAAAAATAAAAAATTCCCTGCCCTGAAGGAATTTAAGTGGAGTAAGAAGATATAGAAAACAACCAAGTAAAATAGAGAGTGTTTTGGCTTTGGTTAAAACTGAAGTAGGAAAGTCCATGCAGAGTTGGAGACAGGACTATAATTTTAAATAGGGTGACAGGAGAAGTCTGGAGGTGAAATGGTGAGACAGATGGATATCTAGAACTCTAGACAGAAAACACGTATAAAGACCTGAGTTTTGAGCGTGCCCTGGTGAGCTTGATACAGCAAACAGGCCTGTGTGGCTATGAGAGTGAAAGGGGGACAGTAGTTGGATACGGAGGGCTTAGAGGGCATGCTAACACATGGTAACTCTCTATGTAGAGAATTACTGGAAGACTTGAGCGAAAGAATGACTTGATTGTGTTTAAAGGGGTCACTACGGCAGCTATGCATAGATTGGACAGAGACAAGGGTGAAACAGGGACCAGGGAGCTGACTTATAGTAAAACAGGAAAGAGTTCATGGTGACTCAGATCAGGTGGTAGCAGTGAAGATGATCAGGCTCTGGACGTATTGTGAAATAAGAGTCAACCCAACTTGATACACTGTGTGCCGGGTGTGTGTGAGAGAGAGTAGATGTCAAGATTTGTGGCTAGAGCTGGTAGAAGAATAGCATTGGTATCAACTGAGTTTGATAAGACTGAGAATACAGCAGGTTTGGAGACAGCATGGGCTCAATTTAGGACATGATAAGCTTGAGGTATCTGTTAGAAATTTAATAAGAAATGCAAGCAGTTATATAGACATGGCTTGAATTTAAGAGAGAGATCTTAGCTAGAGACATGAATTTCCGAGTACCTCTCATACAGATAGTTTAAAATCCATACATGAGGTCAGTGGGTTGCTGAGGGTGATAGAGAAGTGACCAGAGAATGAAGCACTAGGGCATGCCAGCTTTGTGAGAGATGAGTGGAACTAGCAGAGGAAGCTGAAGAAGAAAGGCAGATAAGGTAGGAGACAGCCAGAAGGTGGGACCTCAAAGGCAGCAGAGTCAGTAGCTGGGGAAGGAGAACATAATCACCACAGCCAAATGCCGGAGATAGTCATTAAGGAAGTCTGAGATGAGGAATGAGAGCTGACCACGAAGTTTGGCAATGTGGTGGTCACAGGATATTAAAAAGAGCAATTTGAGAGTGGTGGATGTAAAAGTCTCAACAGAGCAGGTTCATGAGACAATGGGAAGACCAGAATTGATGACAATGATAGAATTGGCTCTTTAGAAAAACTTAGCTATAATTATTGGTAGTAGCAGAGAGGGCCAGCTTTGTGGCCTGGTGGCTAGAGCAGCTGGTTCCCACATGGTCAACCACCTGTTTGAGTCCTGAACCTGGCAGTTTCAGAAACACACCAGGCGCATGTGTGTATGTGCCCAAAACCCGAAAAAGGAGGGAGAACTGTAGAAGAGGTTGTGATGTGACTATTTCCCATAGGAGGTACTTTCTCTTTCCCCCTTCTCTGTCTCTGTTGCTCTCTGGCTAGAGCAAACGGATCTTGGGCACGCACGCACACGTGCCCGGCATCAGTTGAAGCCACTGGGTCCAAGACTCGAACCAAGTAGTTGGGAGTCCAGCAACATAGCCATTACGCCAACTACTCGTCCCATACCCCAACAATTTTTTAAAAAGATGAATAGCATCAGAGAAATGGGGCAAATGCTGGAGAGAAAAATAGCACCAGAAGACCTTTTGTAGAGGGGACAGATGGCATAGTGGTTATGTCACTGGACTTCCACATGGCTGACCACAGTTTGAGTCCCAGATCTGGTGGCTTGAAAATTATGCCAGGTGCCTGTGCATGTGTGCCCAGGATCTCAGGAGAAGGGATTGCAGCATAGCCATCCTCCCTGCAGGGTGATTGCTAACTTTCCCTCTCACTCTTTCTTTCTTTCTAGCAAACATACACACCCTATGACTAAAAACATTTTTTTAAATAAAACAGACCTTTTTTTAAAAAAAAGATGGGAAAAGAATCACAGCAGATTCCTATGCTGTTAAGTAGCAGAGAGGTGAAAGTACATGTGATTGCAGGGGTGAGCAGGGAGAATTTTTGCTGAATGAGCTGGAGAAG